GGTTTGTTCTCCACATTTCAGCACCATTTAGTATCAGCCCCTATATCCGGCGTATGCAATACTACTATTTGTTTTCATGGTCAACAGGGTCATGCATATGTTGCTCTTCGTCTTATAATACATGTTAGTGCGAGAAATATTTTCCACTGCTTATCGTTCTGTATCTATAAACTTGCTGGGAATAAGAGCAATGTAACGCAGCAACTTTCCGGCAATAATAGCAGAAGATTTCGTGTGTGTTCTTTAATCTCAACGAGAAGCACAATTAATGTCTAATCGCTTAAGAGCGGAAAAGACATTTCTAATTGCTACAACTAGTTTCCAAAGCCAGGAGTGGCAGTAAAAGATCTGGAAATCATGCTAGATGCGCTTAGGAGTATTCCTAAATTTTTAATATTCTGTTCTTAAATATTTTAGTTTGTATGTAACTTTTTGAGTAATAAGTTGTCACTTTATTACCTAAAAGGATAACATATAATACTCCGATAAAATAACTTGTGTAAAATAAAGTTAGCTAAAAGGTTTTGGAACAGCCGGTGGGAATGATCCGGTTTGAGGAAACTAGCTGAAATTGCTTTGCGCCGCCTCCGGAGGTCGAATATGTCGCTGGAATAGAGTTACTCAATATGGTGGTTAGAATCTTCGGAGTCCCCTTTCAAGATAATGTAGGGCATGTGCTTTTGAAATCATGAAATCGAACCTCTAATTTTATTTCTGTGGTACTAGTAAACTCGCTATTTGCAACTCTGCACCATCTATTCCATAGGTTATGCACACAATCGATATTTTACCAAGAGAAATAACATCTAAATCCGAAACTGGGATGCAAGTTGCTGAAACTAAAAGAGTTTGTATAAAATTTCGCTAGTATGCAGGAAGTTTGTTAGAGTCCTTTTTGGAAAAATATAGGAGAGGCAAAGAATAATTGGATTGTCAGAGTATGGAGCACGTTGATTTCATTATAATAAAGTTTTTTAGGAAATATTTGCATAATAAAATGTAAAGATTATTATGCCACCTTGAAATGATGTTGAAATCCTGAATGATAAATGAAGTTTATTTTCTACAGAATAATGCCACAACACATACTACAAATCAATTAATACGTGTTTATCTCAACAAACCACGAACTTTAATTGCGTTGATAAATGCCATTGCAGAAACGGTGCAATTGATAAATGGCGGGAGATTGAGCTCAGTTATATTTTTTTGGCTGGAGACTTGAAAACCAAATTGAAAAGGGTGGTCGTCATCTGATGGATAATATTTTACATCACTGACGTTTCATTAAATGGTAGATATCAATGTTTCAATCTGTGCGTAATGGAAACTTGTAGTCGATCAAAATCAAGTTATGCAAGTAACCAAAGTTGTGAAGGAGTAAAATCAACTTGTTGTATAAAAATCAGTTGGCACCAGATGGCAGAAAACTGAATTCTGGTAGATCAAGATATAATTGTAGTAAAAACATCATGTGTGCTTAATTTCTTACTTTGGCCTTAGCTTAGAGCACGAGTATAATTGAAATTTTAGTAACATGAACGTAATTAAACTCTGAGAGGCGTAAAGGACGTGAAAGTAGAACCGAAGGAGGTAATCACTCTACCTAAGTAAAGGTAAACCATTAAATTAAAAGCAATGAAATTAAAAATTATTTTAAAAAGTATTGGAAGAATCAAGATTAAACAACACTTTACTGTTTTCAACCTTGAAGGTGATAGCTTTAGAAATTTTTTTAGAAGTAGTCATGCATGATAATGAATATCATGCATTTCATCTCAGTACGCCAACGCACCCTAGAAAGAGTTTCGGCAAAAATATATCTTCCTTGATTTACTATACAGTGGTTATTTGTATATCACGAGTGCGATGATTTAGCAAAATTATTGGGTTAAGTATTCAAGCCCAGGTCAGCAAAAAAAATATCTACTGTCTTGGAAATCTTCATTGATATTCCAAAAATGCACTTCGCTTGGGGAAATGCCAATTCGAGAGGACGACAATTTAATATTTTCACGTTGGAAGAAGTGGAATCCGACAAATGGAGAATTGATGGTTTTTTTTGATATTCAAATTTTGCAAGGTCGAAGAAAGATTTGATTGAAGCACCATTTTTTGCAAAAGTTATGTCCTGTAGGCGTTTTAGTTTATTGAAGAGTTGCTTATATTTTACATACAATGTAAGATATAATGCAGGAACGCACCCACATTAAAAACTAAATAAATTATGGCGTCATTGAACATCTAAATAAAAATTAAAAATTTTCTTCTGCGATCACACTTGAAACAGATGTAACAACAGACGAGAGTCTGATGCTCTATAAGGGTAGATTGGGTTGCATTCCAGTATATGCCTCTAAAAAGAGCTAGATTCGGCATCAAATCTTACATATTATGCGAATCGAAATCCAGATATATTTGGTCATTCATCATTTACACAGGAAAGGGAACAATAATTGATAATAATTATAAAGACCAGGAATGGGAGCACAAATTGTTATGTCTTTGATGAGACCAATTTTGAATTTGGGACACTGTCTTACCACTGACATTTTAATACTTTTTATATTTCCCCGATACTATGTGCTACTATATTTGGTACTACGATATTCAACAGAAAAGATGTGCCGAAAGATGTGCCGAAAGATCTGCAATAGAAAAAGTTGAAAAAATGAGAAATAATGGCATACCAGAGAGGAAAAGTCTGAAACAGAAAGACAAAAGGAAGATGAAAGAAGGCAAGATTTTAAAAAAATTTCAAAATTTATCAATGATTACAACAATTCTATGGGCGATGTTGACAAAGTTGATCAATATCGAACAAGTTATCCTATTATCACAAAGCGCGGAAGAAATATTATTATAAAATATTTCAACACCTTCTTGATCAGACAATTTGGAATTCTTTGGTTATATATACAAAACAGGGAGGTCCAAAATCTCATTTTGAATTTTAAATAGATCTCATTCAAAAAATTATTGAAAAATATGGAAAAGTTGAAGAAAAACCCAGATGTCCATCAGCAACACTGTCACTAATGCGTTTAATTGATAGACATTTTTATAATATATATTTAATACATATTTTGATAGACAGTGCAAAGTATGTAGTTCACGGAAGAATAACTTACTATTTTATAAGACTTAAGGAAACAAAATAAAATAAGGTGACAGTTTCTAGACAACTTTTTTTACAAAAATGAAACAATGAAGTGGTTAAGCCACTTCGTTCACCCCAGAGAACGATCTAGCACCTCATAAGCCATGTGATGGGTTTCCAAAAAGCTACACAACCCAAAACGAAGTAACAGTTAGGAAGCTTCCTGAATCTACCGTTTAGAGCATACACCATATTCGATCATATCAAAAGCCCAAACTATCCTGGTGGTCACAATTGATGCAGGAATATAAAATCACCATCGAATTTTTATTGTTATATTATTTATATAGAAATATCTCGATCCGTTACTAATGGAACTACTTTAAGCGCAGTTCACTTTGAGATTAGGAACCCATACTTCACTAGGAAGTTATACCCATGGATTTTATTTGACATAATGAAATATTGGTGGTTGCGGACATGTTCTGTTACTGCATCGAGATGTTTCCCGTGGTAAACAGATAATAAAAGTGTCATCCGCCTGATGGAGTATCCTATCCGACAATGACTCATCATACATAGTAAATAAGGCTAGGCACTTCATCATGGGGGTTAATGTTTAGAAGTCGCTATGTGCTTGTATTCGTTGCCTCTGTTACAAAGTTCGTTTTGTGAGTACTTAAAACTACAAAACCAACTTAAATTTTGGGTTCTGAATCAAAAGACCAAACAGTAATTCGTTATATCAAAATGGAAATTATTCCTATTCCTGATTACTAAAAAGTTTCAACTCCAGTTAACAGCCAAATGTTCATCTGAAAGATTCTCCATCATCTTTCGGTAGTTGGATCCAGAAAGGCTACAGAACGCTACACCCCTTCAAACAAAGTTAGTTGGAGTTGCATTAGTACCAAATCACAAAGTTTCGTGATCAAAAACATTTCTTTAAGACGTTATAAAGAAAGCTTGAAAGAAGATACTTATTAATTTATTTTAAGAAAATATATATATTTAAGCATCTTTATATATACAATAAAAACTTATTTCCTTTCCTAAAAATAACTTTCAGTAAACTTCTTCTTATCTTATAATCCACACTTCTTGATAACACATTTGTCAGGTATTTTAACAATAGACGACGGAGAAGCGCTCTCGCATGCACTCACCGCTCGGCATCAAGTTTCCTTAATGGTGTAATCCAAGAAACCGCCACCAACGTCGTCACCCTTTCATTTTCAGCGCTTCGAAGAGTACCAAGCTCGTCCTCAGTGACAACTAACAGGATAACGCAATAATAATAAGCTTGAGACGACGACGACGAGCTTGGCTATGAGCCAACGGATGACACTTGCGGCGCAATTAGTTTAATTATTAACGAAGGCATGGTTTCGCAATCAACACCAATGAATACGTAATCGTTGTCGACTCAGCCGGTTCTCTTATGTACAACCAGGGTTACACGAAGCAAAGCGACATCCGAATTCATGGCTAATTAATTAATTAATTAATCGAATTACATTACTGCTTGGGGTTATGAAGAAAGTTTCGATCGCGTGGTAAAGTTTTGTGAGAGTGGGAATAATGTTATTCGCGCCAAGGGTTGATGGATGAAAGCCGCGGGCGTTACTCGAACCAAGTAGAAGTCCTTATCCCTAAAAACCATCATTAATTCACTGACTCGAATGCCTCCTTTCCGAATGTCACTCGACGTTAGTCGCACAAGAAGTAAACTCTAACTTCGCGTTGCGCCTCCATTCAACTCGGTTTTGATTACAACTTTTGGTGAAGGAGCCGGTAATAGATAATTTTCAGCTCCTTTTTTTAATTTAAGAACCTCTTCATAATTTATTTCAATTACAAACTTGTTAAAAAATCACAAATAAATAACTTATTTACGTACCTTGTATACTTGACCAAGTTTTAATATCTTCATGTCTTGTGTAACTACTTTCAGGGGCTTCAGCACACATTTCAGCTATATGAGGAGAAATAACCGTAGATCGCTTCAAAATAACCGTATAATCCATACTGTAATTTGTTCTTCCTTTGTCGTCTTCAGGGACACGAATCGTTCCAGGATTTTTCTGTCTTAATTTTGACATTGCGTCCGAAGGGATAAAAGCATCACGCGGCGTGTGGAAAATGAAGCACATCACCTGGTATTGGCTTTGTCCTCGTTCTTCCTCTCCAAGGACGAGAGCTTTTAAAATTTGAACTTCCTGCAAAAAAGATAAAATACAATAAGAAAATAAGTATTATGTGAGTGTTAATATAGATTTTTCTGGTGATGGCAAAAGAAATTGTCAAGGATTCGAAATTCCGATGTATCGAAGAGGAAGGAAATAAAAGATCCGGGGTACCAAGAGGGTGGAAGTGGATAGATCCGCGCGCTCTTCGACGATGGGAAAACATCAACCAGATGAAACGGTGCAAATGGTGACAAATGATATATCGACGGTGCATTTGTCCTCGAGTCGAGCGAAACGATGCGAAAAGCTGACTTCGCACAAAGAACGTAAGGAAAAGCTGATAACGGGTTACTTTTCGGTTTGTGCTGAAAACAATTTTTCTTTATATAACATTCAAAAAGAAACTTTAAAGGGAAAAAAGTAAACTCTTTAAAAATAATCGATATTTCTTTTAGTACATTTGACCTCAGAAATGATGTTTGACAGCAACATCTACACTACAATTCGCAGAGTTCGTAAGCAATACAGAGTTGGAAAATATTTTACAACTTTTAATTTTACGAGCTTCTTCCGCAGCGAAACTGCTTATGGGGGTGGCGTTTTATGACCCAAGCACCTGAGCAACTTTGGCGCAAGCCTCGCTCTTTAAATGGATGAGATATGGACGTAAAATCTACGGCAAACTCATTTAGTTTTGCGAGCGTACAAAGTTTTGTCTACAAAAGTATTGCTTCATTATTTTTGCAAAAATCATTGAAATTTATTCAATCGGATTTTTCCTTTTGATGTAAAGTAGATTAAAACGGTTTAATTAACATACAAAGTCCTGGAATACATGGAGCATAATCGAGAGGGATGCTGATGCCCGTAAAAATGTTAACTTCAAAGGAAACTTGTACAGATTCCAGTAAAAGAGAAGCCCCCCATTTCTAACAAAGACCTCGTTCGCAAAAAGTGTTTAATTAAAAATGATAAAATCCAGTAAAGCGTAAAAACAGAGAAGCCGTTCCGGGTTCGAGGTCATTAGAGATTTTCTTGTAAAACTTTAAAGCGGCGATTTGTTATGGGTTTGAAAGAAAAAAAAAACTAAATAAAAATTTTAAATGCAATCGCCTAACACCCGGTCGTTTTTAAATTCAGATTCGGGTCGTTGTGAATAATGCAACGAATTCTTTTTTGTTTCCTCGTATTTTCGATCTCATCCGAACGCATCGTGTTTCCCTGTGGTAAAAAGCTTTTAACGAAATTGTATCCGCACCCAAAAAATAGGACAACCCAACTATAGGATAAGAGGTAAACGTTGTGATCACTCATTATCTCGTGAAACGCGGGAATCACGACCTAATTTAATTAATACGGCTTAATTTAATGTTCTGTCTGTGTGTGCACATGCTGGTTAATCCGGCTTCTGACAACAAAGAAGCAAAACGTATCGCGACATCAAAGGGGGATAATTGTCGCAAAACACGCGGTGTAATGAGAAGTCGTATAAGCTCCGTTTGTGAGGAAAACTCAAAAGGGGTTTATGTTTTAAACAGCTTTACAGGTTAAAGGGGAATGTTTTATTTTTAAATCGCTTGTATTACGTTTAAAAATATTATTTGATACTTACATAAATCAAAGTAAAAATTTTCTGTTCAAATTTCTCGTTATTTCTCCTTATTAACGAATACAAGAAGAGCGTACAATGGGACGAAATAAGTATATTTTATTAATTACCGCGAACCCTTCGTTAGATGTTTTCAAAAGGCATTCATTGAAACAACCCGTATCAATCCCTTAATTTAATTAGAGAGCATTTCCTTTCGTGTCTCATTAAAATAATAACGAGCTTGCTTTGTTATTCCCTACAAAACTAAACAAATTAGCCCATAGAAAAAGATGTTATACGATGGATAGCGTGGTTGGAAACTCTAAAATATCACGGCGACATTGTAACAGGGTTGTTATTACAAAGACCTCGGGTTATGTTGGAATACATAAAATGTGCGTGTCTTGGCACCCTAATAAAGGCTTTAGAACACCAGGTGTTACGTGCAAGCGCCTCTTAATATCATGGTTTATATCCTAGTAAAAAGATTATATAATAAGAAATTTTAAAAAATAGACTTAGTAACCAATAAGATCAAAAGTTTAGATTAAAATTCGTGGTGTGATTATGTTAGAATGTGTAAATTGGATTCCATTTATATTAAATTCTAACTGATTTCGACACGTCGAACTTGTTTCTGAATAAGGTTGTAATATGGTATCTGAAAGGTTAAACGCTTTTTCAAAAGCTTCTAGTTCTAGGTCTAGTGTTAATTCAAAAACAATGGTTCAAACTAAAAATTAAAGAATTAACAAATTTAAAACGATAAGCATATCTACAGTGCCGATCTCACTGTTGTCAGATGATAACATTCGAGAAATATATCATTGGGAAAAATTCATAGAAGATATGGAGTATAGACCTCTATACAGGGCAAAGAAAAATTTGGAATATAACGAACATCTGAATCTTACCAAGTCGAAAATATAGCAACAAAATTCATCAGAAACATCTCGGTGCCAGATACAAAGAGATAAAAACGTTAAGGTCATTAACAAGATACACCTTTTAGGGCCTTAAAAGAAGTGAGGATATCAGAGAGATATGCGACATTGTGAGATGGGCCCGATATACCTCAAGACTACCAAGGATAGTCAAGATGGACTCCCAAGAAAAAACAAATCCTCCAATAATATTGGAATGAAAGCTGGAGCACAACTTCGCAGCATAGACTATGAATAATTAAGAGACTACAGAGATGTCTCAAAGTAATAAAAAGAAGAAGAAAAGTAATATCAGTGAAGGTGAATAAAGATTCTAGACCTGTCGTGGATATTATTGTATGAATATAGAGCTAATCACGACGAACTCTCAAAACAAGAGAGCTGCTTATATCCTCTTGAATTGAAACTCTTCCAATACTTATTGACATATTAGTTAAATATAAAATATTTCGGAGATGGGTATAGCTTTTTGTCATCAACCGGTTATAATGCCATTCGCTATAATTTATCTTAATCATGGTAAACTTATTTTAGGTTGGTGTCTAAATAACACTTGTTGACCGAGGGCAAGTAATTTTATCTTTAATAGACTGTTGGAAGTGGCTTGCAAGCTATGCGGTACAATTAAAGCCATTTAAGAGGTAGCACAATTTAGGACCTGAAACATTATTAGTCAACAGTGGTAACGTAGTGGAGAACGAGAATGCAATACAACAGATAAAATAAGATATGAATTGAAACACCTATAACGAAGTTAAAGCATAATCACAATTAGGGTTTAAATGTAATAACACGAATAATAACTAATTTCTAGCTCCAAATCTGAGAAAGAAACAAACCTCAAGGCAACTTGAAGCCGTCAGTAAGATGTAAGTTAACATCTATGCAACTAAAAGCACCAAATGCTGGTTCTTATCCTACAAAAGCATACTCACAACCTGGAACTGACAATAAACCTAATTGCTCAAATGTGGAGGAATAGAACTATTTAACAGATACGATGGCATAACAGTATAATAATTCTTATATTCAAAAAATGCGAAAAAAATTAACGAAGAAAATTAACGTAATGGCACACCAGGTGGCACCCTACAAGGCGATAGTATCAGCTTATTTTTGTTCAACTTATTAATGGAAAAAAAAATCGAGGAAGTGATAACTTGAAACTTAGCTTATAAAATAAATCAAAAAAAAATCTGCATATGTTACGTTGACGACGCTGCGATAATCCCCAATTTAGAGGTGACCTGTAAAGACACCAACAAGAGGGGCAACAAGATGTAAACTGCTAGTCAACAACACGGCCACCGAAGAAGTCATGGAATTTTCCTACTTGGGTGTGCACATTTCAAGCGCTCACGATCACGTAAAGGACCTGAGAAGTCAGATCAACAAAGAGTCTACTATTTCAGGCTGCCTACGATATACCGTTTGATCGAATAAACTAATTGGTATGTGTAGTAAAGTGCAAATATACAAGATCTGCATCCGCCTAATAAGGTCTTAGGGCAATGAAATATCCAAGAACACAAACAAACCTACCAGCATGTTGAGAGTAGCAGAAATTAAAACCCTGAGGACAATCTTACAGAATATTAGATGGCTCAGAATTAAGCACTCCGTAATCAATGACTAATCGGGGGTTTTACCACGTTCATAGAACACCAGATAACAGATTAATGAAAATTGTGATAACAAATAACACGCCCTGAATCAGATTGCCAGGTAGACCACCAAAGAGATGGAGAGACAGCTCAGATCAGGAACTACAAACCCAACGGTCTAGAGAGAAAGAAGAAGATCCCGATATGATGGACAATACTCAAACTCATTACGATAATAAGACAAAGAAGATGAGCCCACTTGTAGACCGCTCTGCATGTATAACAGCATCGATAAGTTGTTATAAATAATTATAACAGAACTACACAATAAAAAAATAGAGGAAAAAGATTTTTTTTGAATCGAACAAGAACAGTAGACCCACGTCACACGTTTATAAAGGGTGCACGGAGGTACAAGCATCACAATCCTGGATTATGAAATGTATTAGCATGTATTTTCCTAGAGATGTGGCAGGAGTTGAAGCTAAAACCGGCTTGTATTAAAAGCTGATCGAACTGGTATTTACACAGTGCAGCAGGAAAACAATGTTTACTCTATTTGGGCACTCTTCCAAAAGTAATAAACCAGCCTGCAATCATTTTGAACAACTTTGTATAGCTATCAACCAAAACAAAACCATTTGGACAAGTTTTGAATGATTATTGATCAGTTTTTAATCATTTTGGAGAATTTGGTATAGGTATCAACCTTAAACGCTATCATTTGGACAAACTTTGAATGATTACCAATCTGTTTTCAATTATTTTGAGAAACATGGAATAACATAATATTCCTCAATCATTAAGGGAAACTTTCAATGGTTACCAATCTGTATTATATCATTTTAAACAACTTGAACTAGCGATAAATTATTTCTCAATCATTTGAAA